AACAATCCGTATAGCCAATAAATAGATTTATAGTTTATCTAACATCACATTTTGACGATAAAACAGGAAAAAAACAACAAAGGCGTTCAGAATCTCTTTAAGCCACAATTATATTTTCATAGTAAAACGCCTGTAACATATGCTACACCGCCAGACAAGACTGCGCGCGAAAGCACTCGCGGAAAACCGTCCGTAAAGTCGTGCACTCGTTTGTGCTTTCGCCGCTACGCGGCGTCTTTTCTCGCAGTTAGAGTTCCGCTGAGTAAGGATATAAGGCCACGCGCTGCACTGCCGAAACATATTTGTGAATATATACGTATACATATATACGACCAATGAGTGCCATTAAATTATTATTGGACACTGTTAATAGCAGTATTTTATTGTAAGATTACTTGGAGACATTTTTGGTCAACAAATATGTCGAAAAACAACTGTGACTTTTCGAAAGTAAAGATTTTAGTTATACCTATATGTGTTTGTATTTTGTATATCTTGTTATTTTATTTATAGTAAAAATTTTAATTAATTTATTTTTAACTAAAAAAGTACTTAAACTATTATTTAAAAATAAGGCTTTCCAAAAAAAAATATACTTTCTCTTATATTTTATTGACCGAATTTAATACTTTCTTCATTTTATCGATGATAAAATCGGACACTTTACCGTATTTATTGTCCAAATATTTTTTATAAACATTATTTGAACCAAATTTATTTAAGGTCAAAGCCTGTTCTATTATAGTTTGTTTTATAAAATGTAAATCTCTTTGTTCCCATCTGAAATAAAAAAAACATTCCGAATTAATACAAATAATTTGCAAAATTTATTCGTTCTTTGATGATAGGTCCTCTCACTCGCTCTATACTCGCAGTCTCGCTTTCTCTCGCACACGACGAGTTGTGAGATGAGCTCGAAAAGATAAGCGGGCCCGAGCGCCCGAGTATTGAGATCAAAGAACGTTCCAAACTCTCGAACAATAGGCTTCCCCATCCACGGCAATTCACAAATATAAACATCTTATAAGTGAAAAACTAAAACCTTTATTTCGCATTTTATCTATTCAAAAATAATATTAATGGATTATTGAGATTTTTGCGATTTCAACGACACCAAACACGACATAAATCGGATAATTTTTAATTAAACAGATAATCATACAAGTTCCTATCGCATACAGCTATTCTACAGACGGCTTTTCACAGCCTTTTGAGGCAAAGAAAAATGCATTTTTGTAATATACGTGTTATAAGTAAATAAATCGTGTTATTTACATTTATTTTGTGTAAGAATTACATTTTATGGTAAAAAAAAATTTATTTAAAATAAAAAAATATTAAAAAAAAAAGTTACTCCTTGAGAATCGAACTTCTAACCTCGACGGTACGTGGTCTAACCCCTTAACGCTACGCCACACGCTCTTCGATATAACGCTCTATTCCATACGTATTTATATGGCACTCAGTATTTTTAATTTCGATTTTCTCGCGTACGCTTGAGAAATGCATTTTATCTCTTTATTCCACAATAATTAAAAGGATTTCATTAAATTGACAAATATAGTCGTACAAAAAAAAAAAAAAAAAAAAGAAAAGGCCCTGCAAGATCTCGAACTCATCTCCTTTAACAGCTACGTGTTACCGGCGCTCATCTGTGCACATAGCACGGAATCGAACCACGTACCGTGGTTAAATGGCTACGTAATTCAATGTGCACGTTTTGTGCACATAGAGGCGCTTTGAATTCCGGTTGCAGCTAAATCGAGGGGATGACCACTCTCATCCTTCTCTCTGTTAGAAAGTAAGGTTATGTTTTCAAGTCAGTCGTACATGACTTTAAGATAAGCTTATTATTAATGATTATGGAATTAATGGAAGAAATTGATGATATTGAAAATATTAATTGATCGTGATTTTCAAGTAGAGAACGTGTACGAAAACGATACATTCGTGATGGACTTTAAAACCCTTTTATAATAATTTACAATTTAAAAGACGCTATAGATTAATAAGGATTCCTCCTATATGGAATATTACCAAAAATTGAAGAATGATTAGCAAAAATTAACGTGGTCTGCCGGTTCCATCAATACAATACAAATTGTTAATATGCTTAAGATACTACGCAACACACACGCACACACACACACACACACAGAGAGAGAGAGAGAGGTGGGTCTAAAAATAAATATAAATATATTAATAAAATTTATCTTTATTATTATTTTTTAATATTGCATTTACTGGATTATTTTCTTTTTCAGCATCATCAGTCTCATCCCAGATAACACAATATTGCATGAATATTCTATGTAGCATCAAAAATATTTTTTTGAGAATATTCTCAAAGAAATCATCTATACATCTCTATAGAATATCCTTGTTTATAAAGAATAATCTATAAATCTACCTAGAACATGTTAAAATCAGCTATAAGAATATATTGTTTATATTCCATAAATGTTCACAGAATATTCAAATGTATTTAAGATGTAGATGGCGTTCAGAAATCATTTATTATCTTTTTTCCGCTTTTATTAATAAGTACATACAGTCCGTTGAGTCCGTTCATAGTATATAGTGTACGATAAATAAAAAGTGTGTAAGCTTGTACAGAAAAAGAAGCTCTTATTGAGAAGGTAAGTATATATTAATTGTTATCAAAAACAATAAATATTATTATCATTTCCTCACGTTGTATTATTTGTTTACAGTGATAGATTTTCTAACCCTTGATTTCTTACAAGCTCTTTTAACAATTAATTTATCATTAAGAATCCCACATTAATTTTTCCAAGAACAAATATAATGAAACGTCGTAGTAAAGCGACTTTTTATAGAAATGTTAAAAGAGAAAGCGCAACATGTTTTACATTATCACAGGAGAATTGTAATAATTCTAAATCTGATTGTATAAATGATAATGTTTTAATTACAAAAAATACAGATTTCCAATGTAATAGTACTTATAAAACAGAGGACTGTTTTAATACAGATTGCTTTAATGTTTTACATGACTTATATAGCCTATCTTCTGATAACTCTGATAATGTTATTAAAAATGATACTCCAATATCACAACAAAATATAGAAAATCAAAATTTACATAATCAAAGTAATAATTTTATTAATAAATTACGATCACATGGGCAATATCATATAATATTTCACATAACGCCTTACGAAGTTTATTAAATTTATTAAAATTAGAAACAAATATTTCTTTGCCTCAAGATCCCAGAACTTTACTTTGTACTCCTCGACATGTACCCTACAAATCTGTAGGTTCAGGCACTTATGTACACATGGGAATTCAATTTGCAGTTCAAAATTTAATTAATTTGTTAGAAAAACAGCCAGAAAAAATTAATTTGTTTATTAATATTGATGGTTTGCCTTTAAGCAAAAGTTCCAGTAGTCAGATATATCCAATATTATGCTCAATATCTGAATATCCACAATATGTATCTGTGATAGGTATCTATCATGGTTATGAAAAACCTAATGATGTAAATTTGTTTTTACAAGATTTTACAGATGAAGTTATAAAGTTATCGGAAGATGGTTTTATTTATAATAATCATGCTATACCATTTGCAATTAAAGCATTTATATGTGATGCTCCAGCAAAATCACTCATTACTTCTTGCAAAGGTCACACTGGATTTTTTGCATGTACTAAATGTATGCAAAGAGGAAAATATATAAAAGCCAGAGTGTGTTATCTTGAAATAAATTATTTTGAAAGAACGGATGAAAATTTTTGTAATAGAGTTCAACCTGAACATCATACAGGAACATCAATTTTAGAAACAATACCTTCGATTAACATGGTAAAAAGTTTCCCTCTTGACATGCATTTAATATGCCTTGGCGTAGTAAAAAAACTAATAAATATATGGCTCTTTGGACCTATTTCACATAGATTATCAAAAACCAACATACAATCTATTTCAAGTTATCTCATTGAAATAAAATCTTGTATTCCTCCTGATTTTGTAAGAAAAACCCGGTCTTTAAATGAAGTTGCACGCTGGAAAGCAACTGAATTTAGATTTTTTTTATTGTATTGTGGTCCAGTTGTTTTAAAAAATATCCTTTCATCTGACACAAAATACTTACATTTTATATTTTTACATATTGCTGTTAGAATTTTAATTAATGCTAATTTATATACAAAGTATTAAGAATATGCATGTTCATTATTAATATATTGTGTGAAACAATTTAAAGTCATTTATGGAGCAAAATACACTTCACACAATGTACATGGATTAATTCATGTTGTTGATGATTGCAAAGTTTTTGGACCTTTAGATCTTTACAGTGCATTTCCTTTTGAAAATTACATGCAATATCTAAAACGATTAGTTAGAAAATCTCATTATCCATTAGCACAACTTGTAAAGCGTATTCATGAGTCACAAAATATATTGATAACTAAACTGTCAAAAAAAAATAAAATTGCAAATGGTACTAGAACATCATGAAGGTCCTTTACCTATGACACATTTTTCTGCTCAATTTAAAAAATTGATTATAAATAATGTGTCGTTTAATACACGTTTTGGAGATAATTGCTGTTATTTAAAAGATAAGAGTATTATGTTGATAGAAAATTTTGCTATAAAAGATAATAAGTACTTCATAATTGGGAAAAAATTTATTAATATAACAAGTTTTATTTCTGAAGCATTTCAATCTTCAAATTTTGATATATTTTCAGTACATGAACTTGGAGAATTATCTATGTCACTAGTGGAAGATATTTCCAACAAAATGATAATTTTCCCATATAATAATACTTATGCTGTGTTTCCTCTCCTTCATACATTATGTTAATAATATAAATGTGTAAATGTATATATCTTATGTAAATACGATATTGAGAAGAAATCTATATTAAATATTATATAAGTAGTTATAGTATATTAAATATTATTAAGTGTGTTGCATGTTAAGCTTTGTTAACCAAATGAGAATGAAAAGAGTTTTGTAATTATTTCGACTTCAGACTAACAATAAGAATATAAGATATATAGTTGCCCAATGGAGTGGATAGTAGTACATTTTATAGAAGAAAATTTAGTCGAAGCTGTACCGGTCGCATGGGTGCATGATGATATGTGTTATTGGCCACCGTACACTGGTACACTGGCAAAAAATTAATTCATTCTGTCGCAGTATGTGAAAAACCAGTATTCGGTGTATGGCCATTATTTAAAATTCGAAAAGTGGGAAGTGGACGTACCTATAGTAAATGATATTTAAAGAATTAATTTGTTATAAAACATTTAGTTGTCATATTTATTTTTGTTTTATAAGTAATTATTACGCATACTATATATTGCATTCTTTCGTTATAGATGATTTAGTAAAAGCAAGAGCAAAGACGTGTACAGCAGAAGACACATCAGATTTGACATCAAATCCTGAAAGAAAAAGAATTCGGAAAAAGAAAAAATATCTTTATGATACAAACGAATCACAAAGTTCATCAACTAATAAAAGTTCATCGGATGATGAAATTTCAAATTCAGCAGATTTTCCTACTCTACCTGATTCTGATAACACAAGTAAGTTTTCAAAATCCATGTAAAAAATATTTACACACACATCTCATTAGACATCCTGTGTGTATGCAATGTACACACGCATACACACAGAGTGTTCGATAAAGGAATAGCACACTACTCGTGCAGTAAAAAACATGGATTAAATTGACTAGAAAAATATTTTGCAATTTTTGCAATAATTAACAAGAAATTAATTTATGTAAAGATCTGCGAATGAATGTATACATTTTAATTATTACAAACATTACAAAATGTTACAGAACTTTTTCTGCTCATGAAAGATGTAATGCGTGTTATGAGACACTCATAAATATTTTTAAAAAATAAAATAAAATAATTTTGTTTTAGAAAAGGACGTCAATAAACGCATGAATCCAGGACCTTCATGTAAAATAATAAATAAAGTACAAGAAAAGGATTTTGATACTAATCTCGAGGAACAAATAAATAAGACACAAAAAAAATCTCTCATCAGTACAAGTGAAGCACAAAATGTATCATTTACTGAAATTTCATTGAACAATGAAGATGGATGTTCGATACACTTTCCTGTTATATCTGATTGTACAGGTATACTTTTTCAATTCTGAATTAAAAAAAAACATTTTATAAATAAATAATATATATATATATATATATAATCTTTAAAAATAAGTACATATAATTTAAAAAATAAATATATCTTTAAAAATAAAAATTTTTAAATATTATTTTACAAATAGATGCGAATATGTGCATAACTGCGAAACCACTTGGAACAAATGCAAAAAAGATTATTCGCGATAGCAATAAAAAAAATGCAGTAAAACCTGTAAACATTACAAGTAACATGCAAAAAAATATAACTCAGTATTCTAAGGATGATACAATTAAGGAAAATATTCGTTATATTGATGAACCTGGAATGGTAAAGTATTTTAGTAACTTTTGTTGTACTTACATACATACACACACGCGCGCGCGCGCACACACACACACCACAACACACACACACACACACACACCACATACACACACACCCAAAGTACCGAAATGCTATTATTAATTGAACATTTTCTATAATATGTACTTTATAAATTTCTTTTAGATATTGCATTCAAACGACAAGTCTTACGTCAATTAAATATTATTAATTTAAAACAATCGCAAATATGTGAAGATATCCAAATAATTTTAAGAAAGATTGGATCACAAGAGGATAGAATATTAATAAGAGATGATGATGAAAATAGTATTTTAAAAAAATTTGATTTTCCTCTGAAAAACATTAGCGAATTAAATGCTATAGAAGAGTATTTGACGGACGAAAACAATACTAATATGCTTGTAAATAGAAATATATAAAAAAAATAAAATTTTTATAAATATTTTTATAAATATATTATTTTACATTAATAGGTGATTGAATTATCAAAAATTGGTGGAGCTACGTATAAACATACTATTAAAAGAATAATGATTCAATTATTTTCTAATAAAGTGGCAGAACAATATAGTTGGATAGGATTTAAAGGAAAAAATAAATTTTCTTTACTACGTATTTCTGCTGCTATAATAAGTGAGTATTAATTTAATTTGTACATATTATTTTATAATATACACATGCATATATACATATATGTAAAACTATATCATAAAATTTATTTTACAGAAGCAGTGCAAAAAACAATACAATAACATTAAACGAAATTGAAACAATTATGAAGGCATGGCTTGTAAAAGCAAAATTTAGAAATGCTAAACAGGCAAGAAAACAATAAGCGCTATATATTAAGAGTGCAATATGGAATTTTGTTATAACAGTATTATAACACTGTTATTATAATAATTATTATTATAACATTAGTATTTATTATAGCATTATTATAATAGAGTATTATGAAACATTTATCTAAGTGCAATACTTATAGGTATTTTATTATACAATTTTTTTTATTGCACAAATTTTTTTTATTGTATAATTTTTTTTAATAACATGTTTAACACGTATGTATACATGAAATAAATACTAACATGTATATGAAATAAATACTAATATATAGATATAATGAAAAGTTAAAATTTATATTACGCATACAAGTTTTTATTATTACACATCATCGATTAATCAGATTAGATGCAAATACATATGTTGACAGAAAGGAAATAAAAATGAGAACACAAAATATGTTTTATAATATATAATAAAAATAATATAATTGTAATAGAGAGTTACATATAATTATATATATATTTATATGTATTTGATAAATTATTTTCTTTCAAATATATATATATTGTATATATAAATTATATCACAATTATATTTTTATTATATATGATCAAACCTATTCTGTTGCTCTCATTTTTATTTCCTTTCTATCAACATATATATGCGTATTTGCATAAAAATTTAGAATATTAGTTCTGAAATATTTCATAAATATTCATTTAGATTGTCCTAAATATCTTCTTTGAATATTCTTTGAATATGATAAAGAATATTCTTTTAACTTTATCTAGAATATTTAAATTGGTCTCATTTCAACGTTTTGTGTACATTTATAAAACATCTTCTAGTACATTGAAAGAATATTTTAATATTCTCGACAAATATTTATAGAATGTTTATAGAAAGTGTTTGTGTTATCTGGGTATATATATATATATCCTAAAAAAATCATAAAAATGAAAAGGTCAGGCCATGTTCAAAAGAAGGCACTCAAAAATTTAAACGATCTAATAATAAATTATCACGAAAAGTAACTGATATGTTATTCAAGGTGCCAGTTCAAAGTGAACATACGTAAAGTGTATATTATCTAAATTTAGTAATAATATATTACCATAAAAAGTAACTGTGATATTTTATTCAAGGTGCAAGTTCACATTGAATATACATACATATAAGTAAAACTGATTACAATTTGATTCTAGAAAATAAGTGCGATATGTTATTCTTAGTGCACAAAATATAATAGTCGTTTATAGAGATTTGATTTGAAATTCATACTAGCCCGTACAATGAAAAATAATTGCTCGTAATTCCAGAGTACCAATTTGTTAATGACTCAGAAAATAACATGGCGGCCTGCTCTCAAAAAATTTTCGATGGGTAGAATAAATAATTGAAATAAGAGTTGTGAAAATTGTATAAATTAAAAACCTCCAATCTTTCTTTAGTAAAATTTCGAATTTTCGTATCAACTTCCGATTTGTGTTATACCGTATTTCAGGGAGTAAGTTATTGATCAGAAAACTTTGCCTTGTTGCTCGAAACGGGTGTATATTAAGTAAAATTTATAAATGTACAGTTCTCAGGTCAACTACAATAAAGCTATACGCTTAAAAAGTTTACTGATTATTTGTCGTAATATACAATAAAAAATTACATATTAATTATTCAAGATACAAGTGAGATATAAATATCATTAAAATATACAAAAAAAATTTATCAATTTGACTCTGAAAAGTAAGTGACATGGTTCTCAAAGTGCAAGGTTTCATTTGACTTACAATTTTCTTCAGAAACACAGAAGAAAAAGGTATTTGTATATAGTTTTGTATATTCACTTCGTTGTGTGTAGAGCTTTTAAAAATACGTTGAATCCTTATTCTAATCTAATCTTCTTCTAATGTAATACTTTTCGTACTTCACAAATGTTGTAGTAATTATTCTGTAAGAGCTTCGACATTATTTCTAAATGGACATCGAGAAACATCATAGTTTTTTGAGAGCAGGCCGCCATGTTATTTTTCTGAGTCATTAACAAATTGGTACTCTGGAATTACGAGCAATTATTTTTCATTGTACGGGCTAGTATGAATTTCAAATCAAATCTCTATAAACGACTATTATATTTTGTGCACTAAGAATAACATATCGCACTTATTTTCTAGAATCAAATTGTAATCAGTTTTACTTATATGTATGTATATTCAATGTGAACTTGCACCTTGAATAAAATATCACAGTTACTTTTTATGGTAATATATTATTACTAAATTTAGATAATATACACTTTACGTATGTTCACTTTGAACTGGCACCTTGAATAACATATCAGTTACTTTTCGTGATAATTTATTATTAGATCGTTTAAATTTTTGAGTGCCTTCTTTTGAACATGGCCTGACCTTTTCATTTTTATGATTTTTTTAGGATATCACTTACTTTTTAAAGTACAGATATATAGAGCAGCTTTCTATAATAGTAATTCATGTATAAATTAATAGTAATTCAAGTATCACAATATATGTATTTTCGATTCTTATCACATAACTTTGTATAAGTAACAATTTATGCAATACAGTTCAAAATAATTGAAATATATGGTATATATGTACATATATAAAATATATAATTATATTATAGTATACATATATATTTTATTTAATCATATATGTAAATGTTTGTATAATTGTAATAACTTTTAACGATACATTGCACATTTATTTCAATTGCAACAGAATGAATTTATATTCTTGTATGAATATTGAAAATAAAGAATGGGCCCCTCCATCGCCCATTCTCGTGAGAACGCAACCATATATTTTTCTTCGTCTCTCCGATTTTAACACGACATACATATTTATGTCTGATAATTTTTTTCTTGATGATACTTTTTGAAATGTCATGAAGCCTAGGTCAAATTAGAAACTTATTGCACTCGTTTTAACGCAGCGCTTACAGCAGCTTTTATAAAGCGCCAGAGCAGCCGATATTTTATTTTGGCGCTTACGGCAACTTTTATACAGCGCTAGAACAGTTGATGTTTTAATGTAGCGTTTACGGCAGCCTTTATACAGCGCCAGAGCAGCCGATGTTTTATTTCGGCGCTTACGGCAGCCTTTATACAGCGCCAGAGCAGCCGATGTTTCATTTCGGCGCTTACGGCAGCCTTTATACAGCGCCATTATTTAATCTGTTCTAAGAACAATATGTATGCCCCTTGTGCTCCTTTGGGCCATTTTTTCTTGAACACTTCCATATCATTAGAATAATACCATTCCGATTTTGT